TAGTTCTCTATCGAATGTATATGTGGTCTGAATTATCAGAAATATATTCTCGAAGAAAGCAAGTAAATCCATAGATAATAATAATTGTTGAAGTTTTGATTTTGTGGTGATCATGTTAGAGATTTTTAGTTTTTCTTAAGAAGTGATTAATTTGCTTGTTTTTGTAAATATTTATCGATTTATTCGGTTTCTTATAATTTTTTGTATAGTTGTGTGTGCCTGCATGTGTGTGTATGTGTGTGTGTGTGTGTGTGAGAGAGAGAGAGAGAGAGAGAAAGAAAGTGAAAAAAACATCATAAAAATCGAGTACTGAAAGTTTTTCTGTCCTGCCAATAAGATATACAGGGTGCGATGAATAAATTGTCGTCTAAATTCCCACAAAAATGAAAATAACACCGTCATCTCATTTTAATAAATATATTTACCAAAATTACTCAAAAACGTCTTGAAATACTAAAGAGTAAATTTTTTCAATAAAATCGCCATTGGCTTCTGGACGGTCTTCTTGTTTAAGATGGTGTCATAATCCTTGTCTTCTTGTTTAAGATGGTGTCATAATCCTTGTCTTCAGTTCATCTTTGGTGTTACAAGAAGTTCTTTTAGTCTCTCGCTCAACTGCATCCCAAATATAATAATCAAGGAGTTTGCAGACTGAGGAATTAGGTGACCACATGTAAGGGGTGATGTAGTCGCAGAAATTATCTGACAGCAGTGACTGGGTTCTCCTGCTTGTGAGGCAGAGTAATGTTGTTAGATATTGGGTTTTCCAACAGCCACTACCTCGTTAAGGCACTTGATACATGCTGTCAGAGTTGAATTTAGGAGTTCTTCTCTTATCATTAAACATTAAAAATCAGAAAACTCACTCTGATTGTTAAATCAGAGTGAGTTTTCCGAGTAGCCGTACCTTCGTAATCACTATTATACACACCCAACTCTTTCCGAATCCTTTGCACTGTTCTTAGATTGACACCCAAACACTCAGAAATGTTCGTATTGGAGCTTCCGACACGAATGTCAAGCTATATAGCATGCCGCTTCCAAATTTCTGGCGGAATGAATTGCGTCATTGGGCTCTTTATCTCACAGACGGTGCCAAACTGACCCCACTATATTGTGCAGCCGATAAAATCGAAAACAAACAATGCGCATGCGCGAAATTAAAAATCTGAAATGACGATAATTTACTCATCGCACCGTGTATAATGCTTGCTCATTTGTTAGATTTTAGTAAATTGGTTTGGTAAAGGAATTTTCAGTATCCATATCTTTATTTTAAGTTTAAAGAAAAAAAGAACGAAAGGACTTTCATTTATTAGATTTGTGAAAAATTACCGTCTAATTTGAAAAACTAGACACTGAATTCACAATAATTTAATTTTAATAAAGAGGACAGAAATGTGAGTGAGGTGATCAAAGAACAAAGGGAACAGAAAAATGCAATGGACAAAAGGAGAAAAAAGTTTAATTGAGAATTTGAATGACAGATTAAATTCGTTTGCATAGGGAATATTTTAAAATGGAAACATCATATCTAATAAAAATAACATAAAACAAATTAGAATTACGCTAAAGTTAAAATGCAGAGTGATTGAAAAGTCTATTATTCCAAATTTGAAGGGCGAATACAAGAAGTTGTCTTCCTGGTGAAATCAGTTGAGGTGAGAAGCTGATAGAGAAATCTGTTTCCCATACCGATTTTTAAATAAAACATAATGCTAAACGCTTTCCTCTCATATTCATTTCTTGTAAAAATTATAGTTAATAAGTAAATTATAAGTATTTTAAAACGCAGAGTTACATTTCAATCACACTGTAGATTTAATATTTATAATGATTTTTTTAAAGCGTAGATGTGACACAAGGCCGAAAGTATGGGGCACCCAGTGAGGATCGAACTCACAATTCAGTTGTAACAGTTTTATCGAGACAAGCTTGTTAACATTACACCACGCCGAGGTGACCAGGGTTAACATCTATTAAAAAAAGGTAAATATTACCTTGCAGAGGCAAAGTTGAAATTGCCAAATAACATTATAAATGAAAGCCGCAAAATAACTGGGAAAGAAAACAAAAGAAAACATACATAGCTGTGAAGGAAAGGTGATAGACCAGAAAGATGACTGCAAATGACTGTGTGTTCATAATGTAAATGGACGGTTAAAAGTAAGAAAATGTTGTGAAATATGTAGACGTATGAAGATTACTGGAGTATTATGAAGACTTGCTGTCACTAGATTTCACTAAAATCATATTTAAAGCAACTCTAAGCATTATTTTTATATGTGATGTCAATTGCTAAAGAAATTGAAAAGTGGTCGACTCACTATATCACTCAGAGAAATATCTGAGGCCTTCTGCTAGAGTCAGATTAGGCCAACATGTGTAAAATAATAAGACTTGTCCAATTAGCTAGTTTCGGAAACAATTCACAACACAGTAGAAAAGGTCATAACAACATATACACGGTTATTACACAAGGAAATGATGAGAAACTCGTCCAATAAAGAAAAACCTGAAAAGAAAAAAAAAACATTGAAAGAAGTCTTAAAAGACAAAGAGAAACAATCACGAACGAAAAACAACTTAGATTTCGCTACACGGAACCTATCTGAAGAGAAACAAAATCTCTTATCATTAGAAACCTAGATAGATATATCTTCAATATATCAATTGCTTTAAGGCGAGGATTCACATAACACAGGAAATGATGTTTGTATGGAGGAGACGAAACTCAATATTATATGGGAATTCAGCAAATTATCCCAAATGGAATGTAAGACAGGCACAAGAGAAAGGAGATTTGTGCAAACAAATTGCTGATAAATTGTATAAATGCAAAATAGTGTGTCCTAGAAAATGCAAAAAATAAAATACTCTAGGATTTCGAGATTCAAACAGATAACTCCATTCAAAAACTTTTCACTAAGAATTTTCAGATATTTACAAAAATGTTTTTGAATAAACTGGATATTTGAGAAGACGTTTCAGTGTTTCCAAATAACAGCAGTACAAGGGCATAGCGATTTGAGGAGACCTGTTGTCACTTGACCCCCATTGACCACCAGACAATTCAGGTGTGAACATGTAAGATAACGATATTAATATGTGTTCATTTTTTTTTTAGAAGACCAAGAAATAAAAAATAATTATAACGACAAGAATAAAAAAAAAAACACATCATTGCATGAAGAGTAAAAATGTACAAAGGAACGAAATAGAAAAAACAAACAGAAGCCAATGATGGTTTGGAAAAAAGAAAAATGACGCAATGGATTAGGGAAAAATCAGCTCATGTGATTCTCAATCTAAGTAAATAAAAACGTATGAAGCAAAGATTGTGAAAATAAATCTAGAGAGAATTGAAGATGTAAGCAAAATAAATTCTATGCAGAATGATCTGGATATGCCAATGTTTATTTTTGCATCTCTGATACTCTGCCAGTGTATGTTTGTTCTTTTCAAGATGTCGACAATGACATATATTGTTTTAATCTCTGCGTTATCTACGTTTCTTGAATGGTAAATTATATTACAGCAAAGGAATAAATTAAAATGACATATAATGAAATATTTCGTGGTAGAGAAATGACATATAATGAAATGTTTCGTGGTTGAAAGAATTTAGAAGCGAGCTGCGATCAGAATTAATCACAATTTAAGGTCAAGATGTTGAATTTACAAGAGACATAACTCCCTCTTAAAAGATTAAGATTGGTACAACATAATCTTTCTATATTATTTTTCTTTCTATTCAGTACTATATCAAACTAGTCTGAGATTAAGAAAATGATTAAGACAATAAAGAGTGTTTAATAAAAAATAAAGCTTAATTATCCTCTCACTTGATGTTGGTGCAGATTTTAAATGATCTGAGCGTATAAAGAATACAACAGTTTTAACCAGAATCTAGACACATGCTGCAGAAATATACATTTTCCAATCTAGAGAAAAAGGACTTGAAATGAAAGTATCCTAATTTAAATCTGCATTATTTTTGTCCCTGTTAAGGGGTCCACCCCTTTTTATACAAGTGGACTCGCCCACTGTGTACCTGTACTGCTGCCGGTGAATACCCGGCAGTGAGAGAGTGAGAGTGTGACGTAACCGCTTTGTAGGAGTCACAGTTGCGAGCACGTTGACTCAGAAGGAAGTCATACTTCGATACTGAATTTCCCAGACTCTATATATATTATTATTGCTACTAACCGCATTTCTGGATCTACTAACCGTATTACCAATTGTATTATTACGTCAATACATTTATTTCCTATATTTCATTCCTGCGTTTGTCATTCATTTGAGACTGGATTTCATCCCGGAATCCACAGCAGTCCCGAAGTGAAGATCATGCTTTTAATTATAAAGCTTCAGCTGTATTTTCAAGTGTAGTTTTTGACTGTAAAAAATGTCCTTAAGAAAGTGCTGAAAAACAAAAATATTTCTCCCCTCCACTTCATCCATCTTCATATTTACACTCTTAAGTTAAGTTTTTCTTCTATTAATTATTATTATATATAATGAAAAGTGCTATTGGCAGAAGTCAAAGAAACTTAAAGATGGCTTATAAGTTTTATGTCTAACAGAAACAACAGATATGCTGTGACTTACAAACTGATTCAGTTTGTTACAACCCGGAGGTTCCTCCATGCTGCGCCTGGGAATAAAGAACTTACAAACATTGCATTTAACATAAAAGCCAAGATTCTATCTTCTGCCACTAATCTAGACTTACAAATACGCGTTTACAAACGTTGCTGAGATACTTTTGAAATCGTGTTGCGTAGCGAATGAACTGCTTTGGCAATAACAGTTTGATTATCTACTCTTCGATAGAGAAATTAAGCTGGGAAGGGAGTAACATTTAGATTTGTTTGAAAAATGAATGAAATGTAAAAATTAAAAAATAAATAAGAGCGAATACGAATGCAGTCATTTGGAGTGAAAAAAAAGAAAAAGGGAAAAACAAAACATAAAAGCGATCAATTTTGTTTTCATGATTAGAAGAAAAAACAGAAAGAAATGAAGAAGCGGAAGATTAATGGAATGAAACGAGAAAGATAAAGAAACAAGGGAAAAAGAAAGGAAAGTGATGGAGGGGGAAAAAAAAGAAGACACAGAAGAAAAAACGGAAGAGAAAAAGGGAAATAAAAGAATGAAGACAAAGTGTAAGAAATGATCCGAAATGAAAAATAAAAATGTTGAAAATAAAGAAAGAAAGAAAGAAAGAAAGAAAGAAGACGCGTACTGGTAAGAATTACGATCTTTTATTATCAGTTTGCATTTGATATGAATTTGTGCAAGTCTACTGCAAAAATAAACTTAAAGAAAAACAAAGAAAAAAACCTTTCCCTGTACTTGTCATCGAGACTGAATGAGCTGCCATAAGTCTGTCTTCGCCCAGGTCATCATTAACTGTAATTCACTGTTACTAAAACCGTTGAAAGAAACGTGCCTCGATGGTATTCATCATGTAAGAAAATATCTGCCTTTTTCCCGTATAGACAAACGTTTACGTTTGCAAACGCATTAAAACAGGCTGATGGGCACACATGTAGATTCACCTGCTTTTCGATATACACATAGCAACAAAAAAAGCATCTATGCTATGGTGATATAACAGATTATAAAAAAATCTAGCCTTTTTTCCTTCGGTGCTGTGATAAATTGTCTTCTATGGATTAACATGGTTGAGTTGGTGACTTCCGCGTGATTCATGAATATTCGGAATCTACACTTTGCATTGCTCTATTTTCGTTCTTAATAATACTATTACCGATATTACTTGTTGAAAAAAAAACCACTTCTATTTACTGAAACACTTGTGAATGATTCTTAGGATCTTCAAATTGAAGTGAAAGATCATATCAATGTGAATATCAGTTTATGCGTGTGTTCTAAGTAAGAGAATGTTCAAGTTGTATGTGTCAACATATCGACTTATTTGCATAGGGATATTTTGCCCGCATACACATTTATACGATTGGCGAATACCAAATCTAATGCAGTTTGCCTTAAAGGCTTGACCCTTCCTGTCCATCCACTTTATAAATCGTGTTCATTCAACTTTCAACCTTGAAGCAAGAATTCTTAATCGCTAATGCCAGATTAAACTTGTTTTCTTTCTTTCTTTCCTAAAAGATCGTATTGAGTTCTCGAACAATTGGTCAGTTTGATTAGATATTCTTGTCAAGATCAAATGAAGTTATTACAGAATTTATTTGAAGATACATCAAGATTCGTGAGATTGTTTTTAATTTCATTTTAAGTGGAAACCTCTTTCTGTTAGTCTATAAATAATTCTAAAAAGAAATCTTTAATAAAAGTAAATCTTTTCCAGTCAGCTTTAATCTTCAAAAAATATCAATCGCTGTCTTCTTAATTCCTGTTCATTTATTGATCTCGCCCTCTCACTTTAATAATATTTATTCTCATATTCTCTAACACTCAGTAAGCCCTTGAGTCTTAATGACTTTACTGCCTTACTTTGAGTAAAATTATTAAAAATAATCATATTTAAAGCAACTGTAAGCTTTATTTTCATATATGATGTCCATTTGTAAAGAAACTGAAAAATGGTCGACTCACTAGTAGGAAGTATCTGAGGATTTCTACTAGAGTCAAATTAGGTCAAGAATTTAGTATTGATGCTTCATCTAACCTGGAACGACTCAATCTTCCCTTGATAATATTCAAAATGGTTAGCGTAGTCATGTTGGTGATGATTTATTTTCCATTCTATAATTTCTTCTCGACAGATGAAACATTGCAAGCCTACCGCTATTTCCATGGCAGATGTTGAGAAGAGCTCCATTCTTTAGTTCCATTAGTTCAGAACTTTACGGTTAGAACAAGCCAAGTTTCTTCCACAGAGCCAATTCACCCTCGTTTCAATTTAAGTCGGAAATTCCATTCAAATATATATTTCTCAAGAACTGTCACTCCCGTTTGAATGCTTCGCTAAGAAGTTTAATCTTGATTTCGCCAAGTCAGGAGTCAATCATCATTTTTCTCATTATCTACATAATCTCCAAAATTCCTACTGTCTTCCATTCATATCACTTATCTCATTCATCATTACCATTTTAATGTAACCCTCTGAATTGGGTGACTTTTGAGCCTTGTATTAAGTGATATTTAGTTTTAAAAAAAAAAGATGTTATACTTTATGTGTTACGTCGATGAACAAAACCAATCCCCATCTGTCCTTCAAGTGGTATTTCTCCTGTCTCGATAATATACTTTAAGTAAAATAATGAACGAAAAAGAGTTTCGTAAGAGAAAAATATTATTATTGGCATATAAACTGATACATTTATTCTCAAAATATTTCTTAATAAAGATTCAGGCGAAAACAAATCGGAAAATTAATTTCAACTTATTTCTTTATTTGTCATGCAAACACTGCATTATCGATGTGCAGTGTTTTATAACACTACAATATAACTTCAATATTTTCTGGTTTTGAAATTGTAGAATGTTTGCTTCATTTATTGTAGATTTTGATCCTCACCATTTTGTTGCAATGAACTGTTGCAAATGAAAATATCTGTTTCAATAAAGTGTTTCCACACAATTGTTTCGGACATTTGCAAGATTACTTATCTCGTTATGAAGTTATTGTCTGTGTTAGTATGTCCATACTTTTAGAGGTTTGATTGTATCATGTCCTTATCAAATTATAAGCTCTTAATCAGGCGGATATATTAATGCTTGAGTGCTGCTTTACATAGGAAGTAGGATGGAGTGGCGACACAAAATTTGACCAATCGAAGATACACGGGAGAGAGAAAGGAAGACTATCGCTTGTGATATCAGAGAACTTGCACGGTTGTATCTTTGTATTTATGATGATCACGTACAACATCACGCAAAGGGAGAATTAACGAGATGAAAACGTAAATAGAAATAAATGCATGAACGAGAGAAATCTAAAAGGAACAAAGAAGAAGAAGTGATGAGAGAAAAACAGGTTGTATGGCTGCCAAACTTTTGAACAGAAATATGACACTGAATAGAAAAATACATTGATAGTCACGTATTTATCTATTAATCAAGAGCAAAATAGTTGTTTTCCAGTTATTTGTAAATAAATTTAAATACTAAAAAAATGCAATAAAAAGTAACTTCGAGATAGAAAGAAAAATGAGAGAAGGAACGAATAAGAAAAAGAAAAAGAAAGAATAAAATATAAAATGTATACATAAGCGGAAAATAAATTATCATGAGGGGAAAAACGAGTTATAAAAAGACTGTAAAGAAAGAAAAGAAAGAAAATTAAATGAGTCCATAAATGTTGAGATTTAAGCTTTTGAAGAGTAAAAAAGCAAAAATCATCTCGACGATAGAAATGTGGGAATTCGCTTGCATATCTCATCTCTCCCGTGAGACTCACTTATGAAATGTCCGCCTAATAGGGATTCCGCCATGATAAACTAATTGACTGTTAATTTGGCGCGGAGATAACGCAATATTGGGTGGTAGTGGGCAATGTATGCGGCAAACAGGGGCAGCAGACCAGGGAATAGGGTGTGGTTGGAGTCGAGCTTTATTCGTTGTCGGAAGCATTCGACTGATCACGACAGAATTGAGCTTTCGGTGACTAATGGCGGATTTCTGAGATTTTCGGGTTGATAGAAAACAATGAAAAAATGGGTAGGAAAAGATATAGATCATGGATTAAGGATAGTGAACAATCAAAACATGCATTTTAATTTTTATTTCATTTCTCTCTCCCTCATATATATATATATATATATATATATATATATATATATATATATATATATATATATTTGAAATGTGTTATTGATAACGGATGCAAACTTGTGGAGCGTGCAGTCGCAACGCTAAGGCTGAATTTTTTTTGAAAATTTAACTGAATTTTTTACTAATATGGTAATTTGAGAATTTTTTTTTTTTGTAGGAGTTTATTAGTCAATGTGGAATGAACTAAATAGTTCAATAAGTAGAGTAATGTCTCAGTTGTTATCCCAAAAATTTGCACATCGGATCAGTTCTTTTAAATCAAACACGTGTTGCATTTCAATTTATATTACAATGAATCATTCATACAAAAAGTAAATTAGTAAAGTTAATGATATAAAATGGCGAAATCCCTTTCTTAACAAAATTTTAAAGATGCATTAATCTATCAATCACTCGATAAATGTTATGATCCTTGTTTTTTAAAATTACAAGCTGTATTAGGTCTTTCTTAAATACGCAAGTAATTTCGATTGTACATTCAGTCTTCCTCAGGCATGGAAATTATTTTGTTTTTCGTAAAATTCAGGTAGCATCCGAGACGAAAAACTATGATACGAATCGAAATATGTTTTTTTCTTAAATGTGTTATTGATAACGGATACAAACTTGTGATATATATATATATATATATATATATAATGAAATGGACAAAGTCCGACAGTTATTTTTAAGACACTTTTATGTTTATACATTCTTTTTATAGATACAAATATTTAAGTAAAACCTCTGTTTATAATAAACAACATTTACTGGCCTGAATGTCCAAGAAATTTTCATAGAAAATATTCGTTTTCCTACAGGATTCGAACCTGTATCCTATATCGAACCGTCATTTAGCCTGACGTGCTCTTAACCAATCGAGCCACAGAGAATCGTTTGATTGGCACGGTCGAATTAACTGCCTTTAAATTTCAATCTTCCATGATTCTCTCACGTACATTCATATCTGCTCATTGCGTATCCAAATGTAAACAAATGACGTCACGCATTATGAAATGGACAAAGTCCGACAATTATTTTTAAGACATTCTTATGTTTATACATTCTTTTTATAGATACAGATATGCTATTTGGTATGTGTGTAACGTATAGTTAAACAGCGGGTTCTCGGAGCGAACGAGAAATGGTTAGAAAGGGAGAGATAGAGAGAGTAAGGAGAAAATAAAAGGCTGACGTCTTGATTATTGTATGGTATGAATTGGAGTTGTGTTAATGAAATCTGCAGCACAAAACTGAAAACTAATAAGAAAGGCCAGAAGAAACTTGTTCTGTGATTTCAAATGAAGACAAACCCTTTGAAAAAAATCATAATCGACAAATATATTTAATTTTAAAGAATCTAAAAAAGTTTAACCGTACCTCTAATTCCATCCGTAAGCAAACATAATATCCATAACTATAATTCAAATATTTGCATTAAACCCTATCGTCAAACATAATCAGATTTTTTAAGACAATTTTTTATGTAAAAATAGCTACTTTTCTTGAAAAGGTTACAAAAGAGAAGAAACTCAGACCACGTAGGAGGCAGAACCGGGGTAAAAGAGTTAGTGGAGTCAGGCATGAACGAAAATAAAACTACGGTATCTAAATCTTCGTTTCAGATATTTTATGGTAAGTAGTTTTTTCACCATTTTGGAGTAGTTCTTTACAAAACAGAATAAATACCATTTATTTGCCATAAAATATATCTAGAATGATGCTCAGTACTGCAATATTTGACTACGGTAGTCCCACTAGTATTACTCAGAAGCTAGGATCACATTATATACGAACTATATGAAAGAAAATCACTTTCTTCACAAAAAATTCAGGGGTTGCACTATACATGAATTCGGCTTATACATGAGTATGTACGGTATTTTAAAATATGTTTACATTTACATTTAATGATCACTAGATCCTAAGTCACTGTCAAATTATTTGATTATTATTTAATATTTGACTAGTCTTTAAAAATATAATTACAATCCATTCTACATATGACATCACTTGCATTCGATACACAAAAACTTTTAAATCAAAATTCTAACATTTCTAAAAGAATAGCAGTACGAAATTAATGAAGACATTTCTTTATTGCAATTGATAATATTAGCATTCTTAAAAATGACTCGAGATGGTCGAACGTAATCGAGTAAAACGATTACGAATCATAGTTGTTTTCTAAATGTGACCAGGATGTACGGTTACGTAAATGTAAACTGCCAAAATATAAAAACTTGAATAGATAAATTTTGTTAGTCAAATTCAATAAAACTGTGCGTGCAAATGCTTGCAAATTAATTTTTATAAGTAGAAGAAGCAGTATTTATCATGTTGTTGTTGTTGTCGTTAAGCCTAATCCTAGCCCTAACGATAACCTTAACAATAATCGTTACCATTCATATTAACCCTAAACACATGACCATAAATCTATCGTCAAACCTAAACCCTAACACTAGCATAACTCTAACATTAAGTGTTCACAAACTATTCAAACAAAATAACATATCTCTATTATGAATGTAATTTTCTCGTGCAAGCGCCATTATATTGCTTCTAAATTATAAGTGACAGTAGTATTGCTGTTGGTGTTGCTGTTGACTGTGACCTTAATTTTAACAACTCTAACACTAACGCTATCAATAATCCTAAAACCTAACCCGATTAATAACATCAAATCCAAACCATAACCTTAAACTTGATCCAACTCCTAACCACTAACACTTATCCTGTACACAATTCGAAATCTTTGCCTTAATCCTAATAGCAACAGTATACACTAACCCTAACCCCAATCGAAAAATAACAACTAATATTATTCTATTTTTATGCAACTGTTATAAATGGTTTTGTTAGTTGTTAAGAGGCCATTATGTTGTTGTTTTAATTATTATTATTATTATTATTATTATTATTATAATTATTATTATTATTATTATTATTATTATTATTATAACACTAACCTTAAACAAAAGTTTAACCGTACCTCTAATTCCATCCGTAAGCAAATATAATATCCATAACTATAATTCAAATATTTGCATTAAACCCTAACCCTTCCCCTAAATATAACACTAAACCCAAAACTTACACTAACTACTGAACACTAGTCCTAACCTAACCCTATCAAGAATCATAATTACTAGCCGCTATGCTAATTCTAACATTAACCATTAAACTAACAATAACCCAGAACCTACCCTTCCATAATGTTATCAACAATTCTAAACTCTAATACTAACACCATCCCTTAAAAAAAAGAAGAAATATAACCTAAATCCTTGTCCTTAACCCTAACACAGTGATCAGTACTAAAACCTAACTTTCACACTAACCCTAATAATGACACCAACTTAAAGTAATCAGCAATCCTAAACTATAATCCTAAGAGTAGCCTTAGAATTTACCCTAACCATAAGCCTAAAATCTAGTTCGAACATTAGCTTTGTGTTTTTAGGTGTTCTCCCTTTGCTAATATTATGTTTATTATATTATCTACCAAATATAAAATGAATATAAAGCCTTATTTACACTATTGTCTTCATCTTTGTTGTCAAAATATAAATAGTATAAATAATGATAACGCCTCATCCCAGACATTCGGACAGAGAATATGAAGCAGTTGCTCTATTCAGAAACATTTTCGATCTTTTTGAAATGCTTTAATTGTAGCTTGGAAATCTCAACATCAAGTAACAATAAATAATCTGAGTTCAGAGTGAGAGATTGCTGTTGTAGAGAAAATTGTTTACTGGGACTATTTTTCCCAAATTTGACTTGCATTATTTCTGATCATTATATAAATATAACATAAACATTATATAAATATAACATAAACACATTTGAAATAATCAAGAGTATGAGCATACACATACAATGTAAGAGGAAGATGTCGTTTGTATTATTTATTATTGCAATAGAGAAATGCGCAGGCCAAAGAGAAAACGGGAACTTGTCTCTAATGTATAATCTACTAAGTTTTGATTTTTGGTTTTAAACATAGGTATAAATGCACATTTACGTAACATTCAAAGTCGCAATATTCACTCTGTTCTCTTTTCACACGTACTTATTAATACAGACTGAAATGCACGCAACTATTTGAAAAAGAAAAGGATTATAAAGCCAAATGCATGCACACACAATGACGAATGCACATTCTGCAACCTTTGTCTTCTTTAGTCTCGTTTCTTTTATTTTATCTGTTTTCCCTTTCCACAAGTTCCGTCTTCTCACCAGGCAAAGGCAAACAAGAGGATTGTTCAGAAACAAAAGAAGCATTCAGATGAAATTAAATCCCACTTCATTCCTATTTGCAACCATTTTTTGCGGACTGGGTGTCTACTACCTATTTTTTTATATTTACTTCCTCCTTTCAATCGTCTTCGCATTTTTTTCTCTTTGTAATTTTACATGATATTATTATTATTATTATTGCCACTTTTATTCCAAAGAAATTGCCTAATGATTCGCATTTCCCCTGCTGTATTGTAATTACTACCTTCTTAGCCTCTTAAATTTGTTCTTATACTTTTCTCTTTTTTTGTTTTTTAACCTTTATATTCTTTGTGCAATACCTCTTTACTGCGTCTCTTGCTTTTACTTTCTCATTTCCTCTATCTA